CTTCTTCAACATCTGAGTTGGTTGGTGCGTCACTGTAGGTAGCCTCACTGTCGTCGCTACTGCTACTGATTACTCCGAAGAGGTTGTCCATCGCAGAAATTCGATGATCTGCAATGGAGCAACTTATTTAAAATGTCGATCTTCAACAATTCCGTTAGAGGTAGGAGTATAGAGGGAGTTGGAAACAGTCACATTTAAATATGTTGCATAACAAGTTTCACTTATTGAAGTGAGAGTTTAGTTCAACATATGACACAAATGAAAGAAGAGTGATAGAAAGATGAGCAAGGACTAAGGTAGGACAAACAATATGCTCGTAGCCTGACTTGGAATTGAACTTTTCTGCTGACTGGACGTCAAAAGACGCGCTACAAGACGCGAACGAGTTTCAAAAATGAACTAAAAAATAGGAATGTTGCCACAAATAAGCTTGTTCTGCCAAGGCAGTGGAAGTTCAGTTCATGTTATAATTACAGTCGTCTACTTATTCTCTATCGACATTTAGGAAGTTATGACAAGAAAACCAATATGTGGAAAGCAGTATGAACTCCTCCAACCAAAGTCAATGTTAAAAAAGAAGGACATGCAGTAAACATCCAGCTTAGTTTAGGCCTTTTAATCCCTATGATATGGTTGCAAAGTTGCAATAAAGGCACTATTGAAGTAAAGTTAGTAGACGGTTTCTCCACCCGTTGATAATTTATAAAACATTTCCGAACCGTCACAAAAAAAACTCTTATTGTGAAAAAATTAAAGTTAGATACCTTGACTTCACACCATGGCAACTCTTGAAATAAGCCAGGCGACTGACTATTAGTGCTGTCCTGAACAATTTGTTTGAGACTGCATAGGTTAACTACTATAAGCGCCAAACTGCCACAATCAGTAAACGAAAAGATGACAAAGCCAATACACTATGCAGCGTGAATTCATTTGCCGTTGCGCCTCAGCAATCCTGATTCTGGACGCTCGACTTAGCTGCAACTTATGAGGTCTTCCTACTTTGTGGTTTGGACTACCAAGACAGAAGATATTAAGCCCAGTGGCAATGCTGTTACCTCCGCACCAGCGACTCTGATTCTCTGATTTCCTCCATAATTAGATTTATTAATAAATCAATTACTCACTAGCTCCATCATCAGTATCATCAGCCGCCTCCTCATCAATATCTGCTAGAGGTTGGGTGTCTGAGAGAGTCTTGTGCAAAGAATCCAGGGCCGCAATCGAGGCTGAAGAGGAAAGGATAGCAGCGCCTGCGCCTTTTTCTCCTTCACCAGCGGCCCCATCTCCACTGGTTGCCGAAGGCTGTGCCTGACTTGGCGGTTCGCTCCAAACCACTTCCCACCTTTAAGCAAACCGTAAATAGTTTTTCCTACTTGAATTTAGCTTTATACCCCTTCTCTGCAGATGAGTGTACGTACATTTACAAAATCTTAGGAATGGGGTGAAGAAAAGACCCCCCCCCCATTACTAGTCATAGGAGCTCGCTAAGTTAAACTCTTCACTATCACTGAAAAAATAAGCGATTGAACACATGAGAAGAACTTGAAAGCAAAAGTTGGTCATTTTAAATTAACTAGTCACATGCACAAGGAAATGGAGAACTTGACAGTCTTTGAAGTCTATCGTCAGCTAAGGTTAATGCATGTCATACAGTTACTTTGTGATCAAGAATCTTGCCACCTAAGTAGTTGGTGACTTGGTTGTCTTCAAAATTGGCTAAAGTTCCTGACGCTTCCTTTGAATTAATGTAAAAACAAGGCGGTGTCCTTCAAAACCACCAAGGATGGGGAGACTCCCCATAGATACCACACCATCGTTTTGATGACAAAAATAAGGTTGTTCATGGCACTTCTGTCACCAGATGCCATATGGCAAATACGGTAAGAACCGCCTGCAACGCGTGCTATCTTCTAACCTCCTCAAAGAACTAATATCATGGAACTCCACAATTCTAAAAAGCGATTAGGATATTCAGGTAGTCAATACTTAATTTACAAAAAAATCTTACACTAAAGTACTAAAAACGTGGCAGCAAGCCAAAGTGATCTACCAAACGATGGTCTTCCGTGTCATTCCACATGTTTTCAGATACGTTCACTGCTCTTCTATGTGAAATTAAAGGGGGAGAATAGAAACCAGCATAAAATAGTATAATGTTAAACCGAAAGAGTAGGAGATAAGTTCGGATGCAAAAAAAGTAGTTTGAAGTTCATTCAGTCTCATTTGTATAATTTTAAAAACCTCCCAAGACCTTTTGGTCAAAATAGCGTGACCTTTAATCAAATATGAAACTCACGTGACAAAATCTGCCTGAAGATCAGCTCTGAGTAGATTTTTCACCTCTTTCTCAATCTGAGGCATGTCAACAGACCGTTTTTTTCGGGTCTTGCGAAAACGACGCCGAAGAACATTCTTTAGCGGTGGTGTTATACCATGCAAATATTGAAATTCCCGATTATCTCGTCTATGATTCCATCAGAACAACATAATGCAGCGTGCCATATATTTTGGAAAAGAGGACGAATCTGCTTCAGGAAGACTAACCCATAAGTGTTGATCGGTTGAGGGCGATTATGAGATGACCGTGCTGCGAGGTAAGCAGCAGAACCTCGAATTGGAGCTGTGCCATCGTCATCCTGTGTACAAATGATCATCTGTGAGATATCAGCAGTCTTATAAAAATTCTTCCTATCCGTCGTCTTTTGGGACTCAATTAGGCACGGCAGATCCATCACTCGACCCTGATAGACCTGGCCATTATAGCGCACAATGCAGTGCCGCATATCTGGCTTCATTTCCACCGTGAAGTTGTCCTTAAACGTTAATGGACCGAAAATGAAACTGAAATGAGGAAGAACTATGGGTTAAGTGCAGCATTAAGCTCCGGAAAATCCAAAAATACAACCTAACGGAGCGAGCAAAATGATCTGAAATACCTTGAAAGAAACACCAAGATCGATATCTTCAGCTAAGTATCGAGCGGCCTCTTCCGGCATTCGGAGAATGAATTGCTGTTCCAGATCAAAAGAATTGTCCTCCTTGGTCCGAGGATTACTCATTTTAGCAAGTCTGAACCATCAAAGTAGTGCGTCAACCGTTATTTAAGAAAACCGAACAAGATGATGATGAACAAAAGGACCTAAGTGACAAGTGAAATTACTATATTCACGAAATGCAATATCAAAATGTACAAAACAATCACAATTTGTAGCCTTCAGGCCAAGGAGGAACGAAGCAATCATCTACACACCACCAAAAGTTCATGGAGATGCTAGTAGTAAGAGCACGAATATAATGCCATCCGCGAGGTGGAATGAACAGCATCTCACCGGATTCAAGAACTCCATGAAAACCACGAGCCTGTTTAAATTTTGGAAACTTGTCGAAATCTGGTTGCTGACTTGCAACATCAAGCTGCGAGGTATTGGAGAGCATGGAGGTCTCAACGTGTGGGTAGATGAACTCTGTTTGATGTGCGTTATAGAGCTTGACATACTTCTTTCCTACCAACTGACAAAGCAAGTTTGCACGATCCCCATCGTGATGGAGAGGGGAGATGGTATGAGCTGGACCAACCCATATGTTGCTATCGATCATGGTTTCAAGAGATTCCGCGTCTGTTTTACCAGTATAGCAATATTCAGGAATATCGACGTCATCCGCCAACTCAGGAATCTGTAGAAGAATTTGGTGTTGCGCTAGATACCCAAGGGGCTGTTTTTTGTCTGGATTGAGGATAAAGGTCTCAAAGAATTGGTTTACAGTAACCAGACGCTGACCCCAAGACTCATCTGTGTAAGAGGAGCCTACCTCAATGGGGATGGTACGATAGCCGGCTGTCTTTGACCAGTACGCCGGCGACCAATAGTGGTCAGAAGCTTTATTGCACGCAGACCAGTGGGACATCGCACCAGTTATAATGACGGGAACTCCGGCTGCAAGGATGTCGATAAATTCAGCAACGGACGGTTGATGGACACGTCGAAGTTCTAAAATCACCTCGCTTGGAAATGTGAAATTTGTTAACACTGGATGTGCAACATCTATATCGGAATAGTAAGTGGGAAAGGATCTGAAAGAGAAATGTTCAGTTAGAAAAGCATTAGTTTGTTTAGCAAGACTGGTTATTACTTCACAAAGACTATCAGAGTGACCCATGATAAGAGCATCATCCAGAAGCCACATTACGTATTCCACTTTGGAAGCGTTAGTGTGCACTGAAGCAGACAAACACGAAAGAACAGAAGCGAGACGAAGGAGAGAGTACGACTCACGCCAAAAGGCGGGAACGTCGCGCCAGTAACCAGTGTTGAGTTTCTCTCTGACATACTCAACCAGATCATAATAATTGGACCGATTTTCTCGCAACGCTTTCAAACATTTGCGAACGAAAACATCATCAACAGATGGCATTAATCCTTCAAAACACTTGATCAAACGATCCTGCAGCTTCTTCGTATCGCCCACAGATTTGATTAAATCCACCATAAGGGCAAAAGGGAGCTAAAACACATAACTATTTTGAATAAGGAATTACAATAGGTCTTGTAAATGTAGTAAAGACAAATTACTGAGAAACAACGCCAATACGAATGACTGCTTACACGGAACCACCTGGATCTACCATAAAAACAAGTCTTTCAACGCTTAATCTCAGTACTACGAGCAGTTAAACAGATCTTAAAGCGAAAAAGTTACCAGCGATCGAAACGCAACTTCAAAGGGTCCGCTTAGGCTGAATGAATTTTAAATAACGTGCAAATGCGGAACCAACTTTTACGAAGTCCACTATCTACACAGTCAAAGATAGTTTTTTTACTGTGTAAAGCAAGGCTTAACTACGGTAG